TTAAATTAAGTTAGAATAAATAATTATATAATATATACTTGTAATTAAATTTTTGAACATAAACTTACTATTTTTGCTACTTTTGTCATCTTCTTCACGATAAGTGACATCTGCCCAAAACTGTAGAACACGGCTATTTTGTGCCTCAAATTCAAATAAGTAAATATAATAGTTAGTCAAACAAATTTATATAAAACTTATTTAAATAGTGCTTTTTATTCATAATTTGCTAGACAATTATCCAACGAATAACACGCAAAAAATAGTATATAAAATTCAAAGCAAATTAATAGCCTGATTGTCAATATACAGCATGAGAAAAAATCCAGGGCAAATTAATAGCCTAATTAAAGCATAACCTGTTGAAAGCAATTAATATATTAAAAAAATTCAGAGCAAATTAATGGTCCGATTTAAGGATGGCAGTGAACAAGTTATAAATCGAATATAAAATTCAGAAAACTTATTGTGATACATGCAAATTTAATCATTATAAACTTAATTTTGCAAGAATTATATCTTCTCTTACATTTTCTTTAATATTTCTTAATTGCTTTTTATCGACGGAACTCGCATACTTTTCATATTGAAGTTTTATAGCAGATATATGTTTACTAAGTGATAATATAATTTGTATTTGAGTAAAAAAAGTTTTATGTACTGATTTTTTATAACATGAACAGATTCCATTTTTTGAGATATTTTGAACATGATACAAGAAATCTTCAAGTCTTGGCGGAGAAGATTTAAGAGTATTGATATAAGAAATAAAAGATTCACAAAAAAATTTTTTGTTTAGCGTATTCATGATATATAGTACTGTTTTGGATCAACTGTTTGTATTAATGTTAATAAAAACAAATACAAGATGTAGATCAATTTTATGTGATCAAATATCATGTGATTTAAGTTTCAATGTGGCAAAACATAATGATAACTTTATAACGGTGATAAATAATTCTTTTAATAATTGCAGAACGAAAATTATGAAGTTCTATTAAACAAACTTTTAAATTCTTATTGATTGTCGTTAGAGCAAATTTTTTGTTTGTGCGATAATTTTATATCAAAATTTTGTGCTGCTAGAACCCAGAGTTATGCCTAATTTTGCCCAGAATTATATTTAATTTTGTTTGAAATTATAATAAATTTGTCTAGAATTATACCTAATTTTGCCTGTAGTTCCGGTCAAAATTATGTTTGTTGTAGGCCGAAACTATTTTAATGCCGGCCAAATTAAACGATTAAGAAAAATTTTAGGCGGTTCCAATCTTAATTCTCACCAACCTTATACCCATTAAAAATACCAGATCCGTTCAGATCTTTTCAGATTCATTTTTGCAGAACACTAATAATTTGTGACTGGATTTGGTACAATTACTGAATCCGGTGGTAATTCTGCCTAAAATTTAATTTTACCAAATTTATATTCTAATATTATATACAGTTATAATTATGTCCTATAATGAACAAATAAATACCGCAAAAATATCCTTCTCTAAATACCTAGGTAATAATTTTTCAGGAAAACGCACATTGAATTTAATTTGAAAGCAGTCCATGATTTTAACATTATTAATATTAGACTAATTATAATTGGATAATTTTATTTTTATTAATATGATATTTCGTGGTGGGTTTAAACTAATGAACTTTTTGAAATAACACGTTTAATAAATTCTGTTGCATATTTATAATTTTATGTTAATTCTTTACAAAGTCAATAAACTAATGCAACCTTTCCTGTGTTTCTTAGTATCAATGATATCAAGATGAATAATCCTAATTATTTGTATAATGGTGGTTTGAATAGGTAATTATCTTCAAATATCTTGAATAATTATTTGAATTAAAATCTTAAAAATCTATGTAGGCATAATGAAGCTCTAAATAATCTAAATCAATTGTTAGACATTTATCTGAATGATCTGATATTGTTGAAAATTCGTGCTGAAAAATACCGTAAACTTTAAAGGTATAATGAAGCTCTTGCCGATTTTTACGAAGCTCTTAAATATCTAAATCAATTTTTAGACACTTATCTAAATGATAAGGTTGTGTTATAGTTTCAAGGAGAAGTAATGATCAATATTTCAACTGAATTATTGAAAATAAATCCAAATAACGAAGAAGAGATATTGCATATCCGAGTTCAAGCATATACTAAAATCGGTAAATATGACAAAGCTTTAGTCGATCTGAATAGATTATTAGAAATTAATCCTAATAACAAAGAGAGATTGGGTATTCGAGCTCAAGCATATACTGTGATTAGTAAAAATGATAAAGCTTTAGTCAATCTGACAAGATTATTAAAAATTAATCCTAAAAATCAGAAGGCATTAGAATATATATAACTGTCCCTTTATAAGAATGACTCCCGAATCCACACCTTCCAATCATAATTTCAGCAATAAATTCATATACCAAACAAAATATGTGACATGGCACTGATTTGTTGACTCCAAAGGTTCCATGTATGACTGGCTCATAAAATTCAGGAAGGAATAATTTTCTAGAAGTCTTGTCAATTAAAATTGGCTCAGAAATTGTCTACTCGAATTACAAGAATTTGTATAACTTACCAAATGATTAAAATGGTTATAAATATAAGAAAACATATGAATCTTATTTTCATTCTTTTCTTTAATTAAAAATGTTAAAATTAAAATTAAAAT